AACTTAACTTAGTTTTAGATGTTTCCAATGTCTGAGTTTGTTTCTCTTTGTTGGTTGTGTAAAGGTTAAGAGAGAGAGTGTGTGTTAAGTGTTGTGTAATGGAGGAAGTGAAAGGACAAAGAGGGAGTGGAACCACAGAGGCAGATTTTGTGTTGCAATGGGGAGAGAGAAAAAGAGTTAGATGTATGAAAGTGAAGAAAGATCAAAGCCTTGCAAATGGCAAATCAACTGATTGTTTAACTAAGCAGCGTAAACTCATTTCTCGTGCTGTTTCTTCCGAGAGAGGCTCGCCTTCTCGACATCTTAACCGTCAAAACAAGTAAGTCTGATTAAGAGCTCTTCTTGTTCTCTCTTGGAGTGTGATTTGTCTAGTCTTTTGATGTTATGTTTATGGTGTGATAGGATAACAGATTCTCCTGTTAATGTTCGAAGATCGTTTATGGCATCGCCTGAGAAGGAAGATAGGTATTATACAACGAGGGGTTCGATGGGCATAGATGAGAGTGGAAAAACTATAAAGGAAACTGTGAAGGAAACCAAGAAACATGTGTGGCCAAAGTTGTTTATAACTTTGTCAAATAAAGAGAAGGAAGAAGATTTCTTAGCTATGAAAGGTTGCAAGCTTCCTCAAAGACCGAAGAAACGAGCCAAATTGGTTCAAAAGACATTGCTTGTGAGTCCCATTTATCATTCGTGTTCTTCGTAATCCCTTTCATTCTGATGCAAAGTCTCATTGCTATGTATGTTTTTACGCAGTTGGTGAGTCCAGGTGCTTGGTTATCAGATCTATGCAAAGAGAGGTATGAAGTAAGAGAGAAGAAGACTTCAAAGAAGGTATCTGATATTTTTCGTGTTCGTGTCTCTTTTCATCAATAGATAGTGAGAACACTTTTGGTCTCTATGTGAATGCAAAGATGATGTGGTAAATTCATGTTTTTTATGAAGAGACCAAGAGGATTGAAGGCAATGGGAAGCATGGAAAGCGATTCGGAGTGAAGAACGGTCGAAGAAATGGGACTTAAAGAAATATTCAAGATTTTGGTGAAAGCTAGAAAGGAGACAACACACAAGAGAATCTGTTTTGTCTATTTCATTACACATTTTGAGATGTATCTCTTCATTACAGGTTAACCATGAGGCATTTGTATTTTTGCTGATGTTTTGCTTTCGAAGCTAATCTATAGTCTTCTTAATCAATCTCTTTTCTCATATTTTTAGTGATTAAACTTGTTGGCTCTGCATTTAGACAATTCATGTACACACAGCTTCATGATGATGAGAGTGTAATGAGAACCAGACACAGATCGAGCA